GTGTTAAAATGCCAACTATCGTAATCGGGATCCCTAGTTTACCTATTTTTTTATAGGTGTGATTGAAACTAGGACTAGGACAGAGATTCCGAAAGAATTGGGGGCTTAGCCACTATCAAACGGTCGGATAGGCCAATTGCCAATTGTCAGATACAATTTATTCCCGCTCCCCTAGATGCTGCCACGGGTGCACTAAATGCGAATTGAAAATAAAATATTACACAGAGATTGCTGCTGCAGCGGTGGCGTCGCTAGAGAGGGTGGTGGCAGGTCAAAGGATAGTTGAGGTGCCAGTGGGTGTTGTGGGTGGAGTGGGTGGAGTGGGAGTGCCAGGAGGAACAGGGAAAGCACCGAAGACAAACAAACATCGAATGCAGCAAACAGTAACACGATTATGCCCATGGCCATGAGCGGAGACAGAGACGACGATCATCAGACGCAAAAGGAATCGTAAAACAAAAGAGCCAGATAGTTTGCAGCTCCGACTGCCTCACTGCTATATAGCTTCTGATTCTGGTTCTGATTCCGATTCCGATTCTGCGTCTACTCCAGCTATTGCTTTTGCTTTTGCCGCTTTCGGTGATTGTGGGCGCCATTGGAGGCAGCGACAATCGATTGTGTGCATTTTTTCGGTGGCGTTAAGTGTTGGCGCTCGGGAAAATCGGGGGAACACGTGGGAAATGCAGGGGAAAATTCTGCTGCTGCTGCTTCTGCTGCTGCTGCTGTCGTTGTCCTGATAGCGAGCACAGACAGACTGCACCAGCAATTTCAGCGAGCCGCGGGGAACAGGACGAAACGCAGTAACGTCATCGATGGCTGTCCTGTTTGTTGGGGAAAGCACATTAGAGTGGGCCTAATGTTTTTATATTGATGTTACATCTTTAATGTCTGATAAACAACAATTGATTAGTAGTTTATCTAGCTTGCAGAGTCTAAGCAGTATTTGAGGAATACAATGAAAATATACAATGTAATTTACAATGTAAGTTACTATAAAATATTTATTAAAACACTAATTTACAGAACTCTTAAACAGATATCGTTATTTCAAGTAATCATATAAATTTAGGCAGTAGCCAGGCATTTCAAATGTTTGGTAAAATGTAAAATATTTTCAATACTTACAGTCCTTGAATCAGTAGATGCATAATTTACTTGAAACTATGATATAGCAACTGATGAATGGGAAACCACCCTAGAGCACATCATCCCAGTTTGGGGCAGGGACAGATGGAGATAGGAGTGCAGCACAGTGCAGTGACACCTTGAGGCGCTGTTGGCAAACTATAGAAATCACATAAACGCCACACCCCCGACTGCCAGCTCTGCCTTCATCCGGGAAAGTCCAGGTCCTAGCCCGCATTTTCAGAGTCGAAAAAAAAACATAAGTGTGGAAAAAGGGGGCAGCAAGGAGATCAGAGACAGCCCACATGCAATGGCCGTGGAAAAGAAAATGCAACGTAAAAATGCATAAATCCGTGGGATTTAAAGATTTCGCTGGAATTTGTGATTTCTCGCATTCGCTTTTTATTTTTGCACATTTCGCTTGCGGCTGCCGCATATCTTTTTGTTTTTAGTTCCGCCCCTTTTTTTCGGTGTGGGTGTGGTTGGGCGTGAGTTGAAGTGAGTGTGCGGGTGTGTGTGTGTGTTTGGGGCGTGACTGGATTTACGCGCTGCTCGGCGTGAAGAGAAAAAAGTCGGTTTTCGTTGGATGCCACATCCATTTCCAATTCCCCGCTTTGACTGTTTAACACGCGCAATCAGCAACGCTACAAATTTCATATGACATTTTAAGTTGTTTTGCATTGTCACGCCCACCATGCCCCACGCCCCCGGAAAACGCCAGGCGATTTCTGCGATTTGCTTTCAGCGGCACAAAATCCTCGACAGCGCTTTGTGCATCGCATTTCAGTGACTTTGGGGCATAATATTTCCACGCGCTATTCGCATTTCCACTTGCCATAGTTGCCATTTTGTAGTTTGAACTTTATTATTATTTGTTACATCTTTTTTCGGTTTAGCACAGCTCAAATGCAGATTTTCACTTTTGGCTGAGGGTCCTTTCCCTAAAATTCTGTTGCAGATTTTAGGTTGCACGTTTTATTCGGCTGCCATTTGCTGTGCCCAGGAGCCAACCACATAAGTGAATCTAATTAAATTGCGAATATTCCAATAATACAAAAACTGCTACTCTAATTGCAAAATCGTGTATTGAGGCTTAATTGATTTCAAAACATATTTTATTTTAATGAACTTGGACGTCTCGAGGGCACAGCAAATCGGTTTAAAGCTTTCAGCGTCCATAACACTATATTAAATAAATAGCTTACAATTATATCCTTTCAATTAGCATGCAGGCATAAACATCGAAATTCATTCTAAAGTTTTGCGAACAAATTTGGTAACTTTCACCTATTTTAAAAAGTGGTAATTTTTCATTTTTGACACAAAGGGAAAATGGAAATAATTTAATTATTTTTGGGTCAATCTATTGTGTGGAAGAACGTGATTCTTAACTGGTGTTAAGATATCCTGACCTACTTGAGATAAAGAAGAAGGATTTCATAAATAGTTAGACCTCAACCACTACAGGAGTAATTTTTCTGGTGTTCATGGACATGTCCGGCTGCTTTTCCCTATAAGCTACGTGATTTAATGAACTGTTGATTCGGCAAATGCACGATCCGGGATGGCAACGTACATATTGACAAGCTTTCTCTCTCTTTCACCCATCTGTCTGCCGTCCCGCTCATATTTGACTTTTGTGCTGTGCGTTTCAAACAGTTTTTCAATGTGACAGGATGGCGAAGTGCGTGCACTTAAAAAAAGGAAAGGGAATTTCGAAAGGGAATTTCGAGAGGGAATTTCGAAAGAAATATTTCAAAAAACAGAACCATTATCATATCATAGATAGTTTTCCCTTTTATCGTATGTTCAGTGTTATCTGGATGGATTTCAGAAAAGAAAAAAACCCCTTGGATATTGAATCTTTTTGATATTGAAGAAAGATTTAACAGAAATTGAAAGAACATTTTCCATTCAAGAAATTGAAACTAATATAATTTTTAATATAAGTTAAAATTATATTTTTCAGTATTTTGAAAGTGGGCAAGGCGAGGGGAGCAGCCAGAGCATCACGAAATTATTTAACATGTAAATCAAGGCAGAGGCAGAAGCAGAAGCGAAAAATCTAACAGAGCTCAGTGCGAAACTTTTTTAATTTCAAAGCAAATAGCGGAGGGGAGTTTTTGAGGAGGGGAAAACCCGAGGTGGGCGGGAGTTTTGGGTCAGCTGCATGGGTGGGCGTGGCACTTGTGCGGATTATGAGGCGGTGGCAATGGCCAAATCGCGATGATTATAGTCACGTACTTGTCACCCCGCCCACAGTCCACAGCCCACCGCCCACCGCTGAGTTGTAATTACACATGTGTGCATGTGTTGGTAGGTTGGTATCTGTGTACGTACAACGAATGGGAGCGCGAGAGTGTGTAGGTTGGCAAATATTGACGCTGAACTTTTATTTACGCACACAAATGTTCAAGTTTCCAACAAAAGATAAATATGAAGTATTCTAAATCGTTGCCATGCCGAGCTCGTAGCCCCCCCTAAAAATCCCCAACATCATATTCCCCACTCGGCACTCAGTGCCATTTACTCATTTAACTGACAGTTAAAATTACAAACGCTTATCATGTACCAGAATCATATCATACGGAATAATTTATTATGCCCAACGCTTAATGTAATTCCCGAGAAGCGAAATTTTCGCTTCACATGGCGAATGAAATGGGGTGGGGGGCTGTACGGAGATATAGATATATGTAAGGATATAGACTAGGGGGTGTCTGGGTCTGGGTGTGCTGGTTAACTGACTGGTTTTGTCTTTGGGATAGATGGAATAAAGTGCGCAACATACAAAATGAATATGTGCGCACACACAACCGTAGTTTTATTTGCTCAGCTTGGCTCCTTTCATTCGAGACCCTCGCGTAATAGACATCGCACATAGATGCCATATATGTATGTATTTGTGAATGTGTGTATGTATGTATGTAAGTATATACCATGTTCGTATGTATAATCGCACATTTTGTGGAATGGGAGTGCGCTGGTTTATGCTCTGCACCCTGAGGTTAATTAAGATTTTGCCATGCATTTGTTTGAACAAATGGTGTTTGTGCTCCAATCCAGCCGAGTCAGCGAAATGAAAAAGTTTTATTAGTTGTAATCCCTAATTAAATTAAAACTGTTCCCTTTAATTAAATGCGGGCTGACTGCGTGATATATGATAAATGTTGAATTAAATTATTAGCGTGATCTCATCCATTAATCATTCGGGAAATATTCGTAAAGTTTTGCGCAAGGTTTAGGGCACCGTTAACTCGATTTAACTTTTGTTTCCGCGTTGCTATTGAACTATTTGCAAACAATAGCTTATAGTTCAATTGCAGTGGGCTTAGAGTTACCAATGCAAATTAAATATTTTGTCATACATGCAGTCATACAAACCTTTTCAAGCCATTTACACGGTTTGGAAAATAAACCTTTTCGAAGTCTGCTACTAATTGATAGCAGAAATAATCTGGAAAAGCATTCGAGCGAAAAAACAATTATATATTCATTGGGAAAAAAATGTTTGATTAACCCCAATTCGAGTGATTTAGTCGTTCGACTGCTTCTCACATATGTGCAAATGGTATTGTATGGGTGAGGTATTTCACTTAATTCATTAATTATATGCAAGCCATATTCATTAAAATGCTGATATATTCTCGCCCGGCACTAAGGCATAAATAATTTCATATTAATTAAATTCAGCGCACAGTTAACCATTATTCAACTGGGTTTGTAAATAATTATCCTTATTTTACATGTAGAATATAGGATAATAGTATAAAACACTGAATATGAAATATACTGCTTTTAAGAGGTTTTATAATTCCTAGCACTATATTTGGGTCCTCCTACCCTAGGCGGTCATATATATATATATAAGATAACTACAAGGCAGCATCCTTACGTGTGTACACGCCCACAACAAGGGCGTAGCCGGGCTTAAAGGGCTCCAATAGAACCATTTCGATTGGCTCCAACTGCTGCTCCTTCAACAGTTTCCTCTCGGCGGCAAAGGTATCCTTATTAAAGACCACACCGTTGTTATTGGCCGAATGCAAATAGGCCACAAAGTGACCACCAGGGTTCAGGAAGTGTCTGGCGTTCAGCATCAGAGATCGCACCTGATCCGCATGCGGAAGATCAGCGAAGATGATGTCAATGCAGGCGGGAACCTCGAAGCGGTACTTATATGGCATGGTAGCGTCTTCGACTACGGGCACGATATTCGAACGACAATTGGCCAGTGTTGTCAGCTGACGTCCCGCCCAAGGACCCTGCTCCACGGCGTACACCATTCCAGAATCACCCACTATATCCGAGATGTGGGATACCGATCGCCCAAATCCGGCTCCCAAGTAAAGAACTTTGGAGCCAATTTGCAGATGCAAATCACTGACACCACCCATTATTCCGGCTGCCAGTTTGGATTGAAAGGGAGACCAAACCCGGAATTCACAGCGTTTTCCCCGGAATTCCGAAGTGATCCGCTGCTCGCCGTAATCATCTGTACTGGAGCTCGTATTCCGGGTGAGCAATTGTATGGCATCGAAGCGGTTGCGTAATAAATAGACGCCGTAATGTCGGTGCGGTTCAATGCGGTCTGAGTTCCCTGTAAAAATCCTAGTCTCCAACTTGACCTCTTGTCCTTGACCTTGTCCTTGACCTTGACCTTCACTTTGACATGTATTTTGTGGCGAATCCCCTCCGGCGGATTCGATGTCCTTTGTGGAGGTCCTGGAGCTCTTGGATACTGGCTTCTTCGATGGTTTTATGGAGTTCTGGCTGGGACTCTTGATGGACGACTTTTTTGTGCGACTGACGGAAGGCTTTGTTGTAATTTTTGGGGGCTCAGGGCTTGTGGAATTTCCAAGAGCTTCTCCTCCATAAGTCCTATTTTTGCGGTTCTGCCGCTTGGAGATGGATTCCTTACTCATCGCATCAATTGTATCCAGTTTTTGCTCGAATCTGATTTATCACAACATCGGTTGTCTGTCAAAATTTGATGTGGATCCCAAGGGTTGAGGTTTGGATTCAGATTGTAGAGAAAGCTAACTAATACTGCTGAATTTAAAATATTTTAACAGAATTTCTCTTAATGTACATCAACCTTATCTAATCTTAAGTTCATTAAGTTCTAGATACGAATTATAGCTATAAAAGCTTAAAAATGTTTAGGTAAGAAATAACTTTTTCAAGTATTTCCCATTACTGAATATTCATAAATGGTAATCATTATAAATTCTATACATAACTCATCCTTGTGGCAGAGTTTTTTATGCGAATAATAATTAATTTTATTCTCCGCCCGCGGAATCTTCAGTAAAATGCTCCGCGAAAAAGGAGAGTGAGCAGGTATTTTGTGTTGGGTTGGGTGGCGATCGAAGGTCAGTCGCCGGGACTAAAAAGTGCGCCCACAAATGCTGCACATAATTTAACAAAGTGAACTGCACCGCAGTAGTTGCAACACCAACAAAAGCAACACAAGCAACAGCAACATCACGAGCAACAACGACATCATGGGCAATAATAATGGCCCAGAACAAGGCAACAACAAGAACAACAGGCGAAACAACAGCGGGCAGCAACATTTCGACTTCATTTTGTTGTGGTTTTCTTTTGGCGCTCGCTGGCTCCCTCTCTCCATCCCCCTTTTTCTGGCAATGTACATAAAACTTTTCGGGCCACTACAATTTTTAATGCACTCTCTGACATTGTGAGGGGGCGGGGGCGGCAAGGACGAAGGACGAACTGGGGTGAGGTGCTGGTGGTGTTGGTGAACGGAGGCCATTCTGGAGAACAAGCAAATGAAACTCAAGTGCATGTAGCGCTAGCCGGGCCAAGTGGTGCAATAAAAAAAATATTATACATTCGACGGGTAAAATACCCTTTTAATCAATTCTTATAGAAGCAGTAGAATGTTAATACAAAACTAAAATAACCAAATTAATTAGAGATACAAGAATTTTCATTTTTGAAGGTCCGAGAAAACAGGATAACCTATACAATATGAAAAACACATATTTTTAACGTTGTTTGATATATCGATGATCAAAATAAACATTCAAGGCATTGAAAAACGTATATTTTGATACCAACATTCAGTTGCAGAAATAAATGTAGTTGTTTAACAAATTTCTCAGAAATATTAAATGCCCACCATCAGGGTATAAAAACAAACCAACGTCGAAAAACATCACAAAAAAAAAAAAAAACAAAAAGCGGCAGGAATGAAATAAAACAGGCGCAAGAAAGGCCAAAAAGGAAAACAATAATAATACACAAGGGTCCGTGGGTGAAAGGCGGAGAAAACTCAGATTTTTAATAAACTTGCCGCGGCTCCTTTTCGCTTTTCGCATTTCACTGCATACTTTTGGGCGCAGCAGCGACAATAGTCGCATTATTGTTGCCACAGCGGCTGCTTATTTACGAGTATTTGCCTAGGAATGTGGCGAGCATCTTGCCAAGTGGCCAAAACCCATCCCCAACCTCCCTCTCATCTGTATAATGAGCCGCCAAGAGCGCCAGACGAAGACGGCAACGGCAGTTCATGAAAAATCAAGAGCCAAGAACTTTTTAGCCACCAAACTTTGACTCAATGTAAATTTCGCCCGATCATGTTTGAAGTTTATCAAGCCAGCGGAAAGGGCAGTTCTTGGCCATGTTGGGACCACCCACACGACACGTCTGCTGCAACTCCATTAACCCCCAAGGAACCAAGATGACACGACACATTCACGTATGGTTGGTCCTTAGCGAAACCCAGTTGCCTCAATGACACGATGCAGATATGCGAATAAATATAAAAAACAGAGAAGGTTTAAAACTTAAAAAGAGGACTATAATGTAATGGATATAGTTAATTTAAAACATAATACTATCATATTCCTATATATACCCTAAGGTAAATTCCTTGTACTAAATATGCCTCATTAGATTCTTGTTCTTTAAATAACATAGTTCATAACGTTTAGTGCCCGATTTCGTACAGTATCATATGACCATGAGCTAAGCTCCTGTCCTGGCTGCCCTAACTTGGCCAGAACGTGATGGGTGGAATGGGATGGGCTAGAACGAGTCCTGTTCTGGATTCTGTGAGGTGGGGGAATGCATTTTTAAAATACTCGCGCGCATTTTCGCAAATGGCAACAAACGGCGCCAAGTTTAGCAGCTGCGCTGCCTTCGGGTGCTGTAAAATGCAAAATCCAAATGCCCCGCTCCCTTTAGCCATCGTGGCATCGCCTGCATGGCTTTTGGCATAACATTTTTAGCATATTTGTTGTAGTCTAAACACGTGACAAGTGTGCGAGTGTGTGAGTGTGTGCGAGTGCCATTAGTCCCTTGGTCATGCGCCGGGTACGGGAAACTCACGTGCCATCTACGGATATGCAGCTATTGCCCGGAAAAAGGCCAAAATAAAAACTTTACCGCAAGAACTTTACCGGCGACAACAACGGCAAAATACGAGAATGGCCTTTGACCGGGGGGAAATCGCTGTGGTCATATATTTGCCATTGCATCGGCATACTTTTGGCCCACGTTTTAATCAATTTTTCAAGCATTTAAGTGCACTTCATTCGAGGGTTACCGCAGCAAACAACTGTCACGGTCATTTAAATTGCTAAAATCATACTTAAAGAACCCTCTTAAATATCTGAGAGTAACATTCAAACACAACATTCCTGCATTAGAAACTAGGAATTAGAAGCTTGTCACTATGTCAAGCTAAGTGTTTTTACCAATCCTGAAAAAGTCTATTCCTCTAACAAGTCTTCTTTTAATAGCTCTAAAATTTGTGAAACAAGTTGATTCATTTAAGGAAGATTCCTTCAAAAATTGTATACCTGCAGTAGAACCAGTAAACGGGTTGTGCCAAATTCCGCATAGTTTAAGAGCTCGCCTCGTGACCTAGTCCAAATCCATAGAGAGGAAAGGCGACAATAATGCCTGAAATTAAATAAATATGCTCGATTATTTCCAGTTTATGGCGATGTAAGTTGGTGGCAAAATGTGTGAAATATATTCAATAAATACTTGAATATTAAATCAGCTTAATGCGAACGAACGTCGAGGGCGTGTCACATCACATAGCGAGCTCATTAAGCCCATAAGCTTTATTGATTTTCAACAAGCTACCAGTGGCTGTGACGAAAATGTACAAAAATTAATTATTGCCAGTCGAGCTGAGTGGAAAATTCATTTCAATTGATTTGAGTTGATTTCATTTTTAACACAATTTAATTTAACCATCAACTTGCAACCCATTAAAGTTAAACTCATTTGCATTATCGGGGTGATATTTTATTTAGCAGCTTAATGAGCGAAAGAAAATAATTATCTTAAAAGTTTGTGTTTCGTTATTAAATTAAAAGGTGTTCATGACAACTATTGGAATTATAGATGGGGAAACACAAAGATATTTCTTTTTCTCGCTTGATCTCTTATATACTCTCTGATTATAATAGAATATAGTTTTATATTTGACCGCACCTCGTTTGTAAAATTACTTATGCATTATTTTTCTGGTTGCCATTTTTTTTAGTGCCTGCAACAATGGCATTGTGTTTCATCGGAATGACAGGAGTTGAACAAACCACAGCACAACATTAACATCAGCCCGGCTGACAGCTGCAGAGACTTCAGCTGCAGGATCGGGAACACAATGAGATAACCCCGTTTTGGCCTTGCCAAGAGCAGCAGCTGCAACTCTGTGAGTGACTGATAACTGCAGCCATTTGCCATTTGTTTCGCCAAATACCCCGCCACGCCGCCTCCCATTTCCGGCCCTTCGCCGGAAAACATTTCCGCCCTTTTCAAGCACAACAAATGAAATCGATAAGAAACTAAGCGGCTTGCCGTCGAAATTCCATTTCTTTTCGAGCCAAGCTGATACTGCAGCTGCGGCTTAAGCTGCAGGATGCATTCCGCCGTGTCTGCCGGCCAAAATGCGGCCAACAGCGACAAGGAGTGGCATGTGGCTAATAGGATTTGGCCGCCACATCGCCACGAGTGGGTTGACATTGGGTAGAAAATGTTGTTTTCAATTGTCTACTTCGTTGCACAAGGCCGTCGCGGGTTAATTCTCCTGCTAAGCAACTTTGTATTGGATTTTATCGGAGGGATTTGTTGAATTCTTTTTTGAGGCAAAAGGGTGTAGTTGAGTCTTAACATACACACATTTTAATTCCTTATTATTTATCACTTAAGAAATCATTTATGAAAGTTTCGTAGACGTTTTTAAAATAATTATAGAAAAATTGTATAATAATAATTGTATAATTTTATACAGTTATATAGCTATAGTTACATATATAGAAATCCAATTCGGTTATTCTTTTTTACATTTTCTGTTAAGATTAACAATTATGTTAGTTCAAACATGCAATGTCCCCGCCTAACAGCTGTTGATTTAAAAGTCTCCACTATGTTAGCCTAACATTAAATAGTATTAACATGCGCTACAAAGCCACAAGCTAACAGCAGCAGCATCACAAGAGTATTTAGTAATATCTGAACAAGAGAAAATCCACGAGCCATACCGCGCCCAAAGATACGGTCATTGGACTTCTCTTTAAATACCGTACTCCAAATGACAGAAATCTCTGTGAAATTCCCGACGAAAATCGAAGCTGTGTCGGCTGAGGTCCTGCTGAAGTAAAAACACGACATCAAAGAGTTCCCTAGAATCCATGCCGGAATCCCGAATCCGGAGTCCGCTGGCCGTAGTCAGTTTTACGGCAACTTTGGTGCGGAGCGGTACGAAGGGAAAGCGCTGCCGAGCGAAACGGTACGGTCTACCAGTTGTTTCTAAATCGGCGTCAACAGACAATAGAAAATCACACAAGGGTATTGAAGCCCAAATTGTAAAATTTAAATTCAAGTTGAAATTCTAATATATCACAATTATCGCACACGTGCTGTGAAATTATGGATTTAT